AGAGAGAGAGAGAGAGAGAGAGAGAGAGAGAGAGAGAGAGAGCGGGTTTGTGTGTGGTGGTGGGTGTGGCGATGGCGGGGAGGGGGGCGAGATCGTCGTCTCCCACTTCCTGTATTGGGAGGTGGAGAAATTTATCGGCAAGTTTTCTATTGCTGTTGTTTTGCTCGCTCCGTGTGGCGTTTGTCGCCTCCGATGCGGATTTCATCCCCGGTCCCGAGGCGCAGGGTATGCAGTTCTCCGAAGAGGAAGCTAATAAACCCGCGGGACCACCAACGAGCCTTGTAAACGACATTACTCGCGCCAATGGAAGAACTGGACCCCCTCCACCAACCAACTCTTGGGGAATCGTTCAGACAAGGAAGACTCAGTTCATCACTCCAGACAGAAAGAATTTTTACGTGAATGGATATAATTCGTGGGGCTTGGCGGGAAGAGGGGGAACTCCGGAGGGAAGACAGCGGGTAAGACAAACGAAACACCACCTCCTTCTCCTCCTCCTCCTCGTTTTCCTCCTCCTCCTCCTCGTTTCTCCTCCTCCTCCTCCTCGTTTCTCCTCCTTTTCCTCCTTTTCCTCCTTCTCCTATTTCTCTTCCTCGTTTCTCCTCCTCCTCCTTTGCCTCCTTCTCCTCCTCCTTTGCCTCCTTCTCCTCCTCCTCCTCGTTTCTCCTTCTTCTGTTCATCCCGCTTTGCGCGTGCTCACTTCTCAAACTTGATATGCATGTAACTACGGTAGTATTTATATATTTTAATATATTTTAATAATATTATATTATATATACTATTATGTTATATTATATTATATTTATATATATTTGTCACAGCCCCTCGTTTGTTGTCCTCTTCTCTCTCTCTGCCTACGGTTTTACCGGGCAGTTCTGTTTGTGACGATATATATACATAGACGAAACAGTTTGCCACAGCCCCTCGTTTGTTGTTGTCCTCTTCTCCCTCCCTCTCTGCCTACTCTTTACCGTAGGCAGCTCCCCTAGTTTGTTGTCCTCTTCTCTCTCTCTGCCTACGGTTTACCGAGTAGTTCTGTTTGTGACGATATATATATAATATTTATATGTTAACTATTATTGTGGAAGCTTGTTGTTGAAAGCATTTTCGCAATTGTGTGTCGTTCTGGGTAAATGCAGATTGTAACGTGAGTTTTTTTTTCCCAAACGCCCTACCTGGTGGTCCCTTCTTGTACTCGAATAGAACGCGGGTTCATTAGTATCATTGGATTCATTGCTGTATCAGTAGACTGGAAGTTGTCGCCGATTAGAGAACAGCTATAATAATGACCGTGCCTTTTTTCTTCTTTTTTTTTTCAATGACCGTGCCTTTTGTTCCGGGTGCCGTTTATTTATTCGGCTGAAGACGGTAATGTCACATTGTCACCCCTTTTTTTTTTTTTTTTTTTTGCTTTTTGCTTTTTGCTCTTTGCTTTTTGGGGAAAGTACCACCTTATCCGCTTCCCTGTCAGTTTGTTGAGATTTTCGGTTTTTTTCCCCCTATTGGTGCGGTGTTGTCCAATCCCGTCAGCTTGTTGTGATTCTTCTTCCCCTCTTTATTGCCCTTACTGTGCTTACATGTTTGCAGGTTTACCCCTCTCGGCGCTCTCTTTGTAGTTCCGGGCTTTTATTCATTGTTGTTGTTGAAATAATGAAAATCGCTCTGAAAATCTCCTCCTCTCTCACTCGAGCTGTTGCTTCCTCTCCCTTTCTCCCCCTCGCTTCCTCTTTTCACTCTTTTCGATCTTGTTCGCAAAGGGGGATGCATCTGGCTTGCACTGGTAAAGCTGTTGCTTTGTCTAAATGCGCCCCCTGGCTTTTGCTTTCTCTGTTCTTTTGTTTGAAATAGTGATCTTTGTTAGTGTGTGTGTGTGTTTAAATTAAAATAATCAATCATGAATGTGGTCCGATGGACCCCGAATGAGATATTACATTGATGATCAGATAAGACATACTAGAAGGGGTGAGTGTGTTGTGAGAAAAAAAAAAAGAAGAAATACTACAGCTCATAAAATTGTTATCGGATTCGTAAGTGTCTTCATATCACATTTATTAGGAAAAAAAAGAAAAACGTTTTCTCTATTATCTAGAATTTGTCGCATCTCATCCAGAATGTCTCATCTCGTCCCGATCGTTGGATGCTTGTTTTTTTTTTTTTTTTTTTTTTTTTTTGATATACTAGTTGGATACGGATTCCTGGACGAGGGAGGTGTCGTATTGAGTATTGAGTACTTTGTCTTTTCCCTGTTGGCACGTAGTCGAGCTCACTGTGTGCTTTCGGCCGATTGACGTCAACGAACACTGCTATCACCTCATCCGATCTTTGGAATAGGGGTAACCCAAGTTGGGACCGAAAGTGGGACCGAAAGTGGGACCGAAAGTGGGACCTAAGTTGGGACCGAAGCTGGGTAGTGGTCACAGTAATGATGTTTTTCTGGGTAGACTGTGAGGAAGGTGATGAATGTTCGAACGGGAAAAAAAAAAAAAAAAAAAAAAAAAAANAGAGAGAGAGAGAGAGAGAGAGAGAGAGAGAGAGAGAGAGAGAGAGAGAGAGAGAGAGAGAGGGGGGGGGAAGAGACGAAAAGAGAAAGACAGACGGAGAGAGACAAGTAGATAGAGAGAAAGGGAGAGAGGCAAAGCAAATCCAAGTCGTCATTAAAAAAAGAAAATTGCATACTACACTTCATCGGCGCCAATTTAATTTCTGAGATGACAGAATACTCCGTCCCGCCCTACGGCAAAAGCCTACGACAAACAAAAAAAGAAAACGTCAATGCCCACAAGACGACTCATCCACCCGATCGGATGACCACCCACTTCCCTGACCAGCACGACCAATATGGAACCGGCACATCCACGACGGCCCTCTCACGGCTACAACAATGATGGAAGGGCTCACACTTTCGCGCCGTCCACATCCATGGAAGCGACAATGCGCACAACAGAGGTGGCACCAGCTCCAACGCTCACGAATGACCTTTGCTATCTCCAACAGACTCCAAGCATGGCACATCGGTTTGTTGACTTCGTCTGACGCTGCGTAGTGTTTTTTTTGCACTTCAACCTTCGCTTCCAACGCCCCGGACTGTTGGATTTGGATGGAGCATTGCCGCTTGTTGGCGCTCTCCATCGTCGACGCTATTATTGCCCCGTGCTTCTCCATGCATTCTATCATCGCTTCAAAAGCTTGTTGCCTCGTGCTCTTCCTCTTGCCAAAACCGTCGGGGATACTCGTCGTTTGAGAAGAACCTTTCGTCGACCCGTCATCGTCGTTGTCGTGCCCTGCACCAGCGTCCCCATCACCCACAGATTTGGGATGTGCTGAAGAGACGGATGACAGACACACACCACCCAAAGCACCTGTGTGGGCGACGTTCTTGGGGCTTATGGTGTGGTTCTTGGCGGTCGACCCCACTGTCTCGTCTTAAACCACACGATTGATGTTGAAATTGAGGCCCTTGGACGTCCTCTCCATCCCAGAGAATTGGAGGAAGTCCTGTTTCCCGGACAAACCTTGGAAGTGATGCACCTTCTTGAACTGCTGCATCAAATTGTCCCACTTCTTCCCGCACTTATCTGCGTCTCTGTCGACACTCACCTTCTTCAACCTTTGCGCCACATCTAACCATTTCCATTCCCGCGGCTTCATCCGGGCGTAGGCATGACCCATCCCCTGCAAACGCGCATCCTGGTCACGTTTAGCCCTTTTGAGGGCTATAATGTAATCGACGGACCAGAAGTGATGACCTCCTTCCACATCACAGTCACCTTAAGCATCGCTCCCCTTCCCCGCTGCTTTTTTCCCTCGACGACCATCGCGGGCAGATGCCTTCGTCTTCCCGCCCCTGCCTCCCATGTTGTCTTGCCTGAACGACGACACGTAGCCTTCATCCTCCTCCCCACCGTCTTTGTCGTTATCGTCGTCGTGATTGTCCGCGTCGAGAGCTGGTGCCTCCTCTTCGTTTTCGTGCTCCCCCACACACAGTCGTTGCACCCCCCGAGTTATGGATTCTTCGCGCCCCGACCGGAGCCTCCGTCGGTGTTCTGCCCACACCTCCTTCCCGTCCCGGTCGTCACCAATATCGGGGGAGCCAGAATTCGTCTCCCCGCATCCGCCACGACGGCGGGCTGCACTCGAACCGACAGACAGGGGAGACGGAGACTGCGTCTACTGGGGACGAGCGGAGGCACCCCTCGACACACACGGCGACCTGAATTGCTGCTTGGGAGGATCCCTGTTACTCCCCGACGCCTCCCGAACCGGCACTGGAGACTTGGATGATAGCACATTGCGCACAACCACTGTCACTTGCCTGCCGTTGTCGCCGGGTTGGGGGTTAAAGACGACCGTTCGCGCGGTGGCCGACGACCTCACGCTACACAGCCCGATCGACAGATTCACGCCGTCATCGCCTTCGTCACCGCTGAGCCCTTGCTGGAGGAGTTCGGTGTACGACTGCCGACACGCGCCGTCGCGGCTTCCACACAACTTTATAGCCACCCACTCCTGGGTGGAAACACCTCCCAGCGAAACGATCCGTGACCGTCTCTCATCCGCCTCCTCGTCGGACGTATCCGGCAGAGGTTGCAAGTGTGGTGGTAGGTGCGCGTACCCAGACCGCTTTGACTGCCTTGAACGACTCGACGAGCTTTGCCCAGCCCGCTGGCCACCACCCTGCTCCCCTGTAGACCTGCAGATCGCCTGCCGCCCCTCCATCCTGACGTCCTTCTTTGAAGACCGTCTTCTGCATGCACATCCTGGAACGCCACCGAGGATGCATACGTGGAAGCCAACTAAAACGACAAGCAAGAGGATGACCAGCACCAGCACCGGCAGCCTCCAAAAGACGTCGGCCATGAAAGGCACGTGGACGACGGCAGCCGGTAGAAGACAACGGTGGACGTCCAGGAAACGGCGAGGAACAATGGTGCAAATGGCCGATCGCAGATAACGACAAACGAAGGGTAATGTATTCCGTCGCGGAAGACACTGCATAATCGCGAGAGCGCGCGCCGGCTGAAATTTTCGAATCTGCCGACCGTTGGGCGCCTTCCCGCTGGGTGCCAGGGGCACCGACGCAAGACAACCCCTTCAGACGTTGAGGAGGCCGACAGGCCGGCAAAGGTGACCGTTGGCGGACAATTCCATGACGCCGAACTTTGCCGACCGAAGATGTCCGTTGACAGGCCACCAGGAACAGCAATGGACCAGCTGAGTTCGAAATTTGTCATCGAGAGAGTTGCCGTCGACACTCCGATTCTTCCGGATGCTCGACCTCCGAGGGACCTCGGGAGGTCCCTTGGGGAACGCGTCGAAATGGTTGTAGCCCGAGGAATCCCCAAGGAATCCCCGAGGAAATGTTTTCACTTTTTTTTGCCAATTTCTTCCCTGAGGATAAGTGGAACGATGAATTCCTTGGGGGATTTACGCACCCGAGAAGTGTCTAACGAGCCCCTAAGTT